ATCTCAGCATCGGGGTTCCTGAATACTTCGGAGAACAAATCGTCATTTCTAGTGATTCGCCCTACAGTTGTGTGTAACCATGCATGCTCTGCATAGAGAGCTGGATGTGACACCAAAATTTAAAAGCTGTTTTGTTGTTAGAGCAGGTAGTTGCAGGTAGTATTGAAAACTCTTGTTTTGTATTTAAAATATTGTAGCTTATTGGTTTAACTTGATCACTTTAACTATGACCATTAGTGGGCTTTGAAACGTGTTGCTGACGTTAACGTCGTCGACAATCACACGTAAATTTTCACAATAGCTACTTGACAAGCTATCTTCGGCACAAAATGTAAAATAGTATTGTTTGATGGTCGCAGATAACAATATAAGCGCACCTATTTAATCTTGTATTTGACTCCTCGTCGTATGAGATGGTCGATGATGTCACAGCGGTCCTCATCACTTATGCTTACTGTTTGGAGCTCCGAAATGTCCACAGTCACTATCAATAATAAGCAGATCCCAAAACGATATAAAAAACAGTCGATAATGAAAATGCGAAGGCTAGACATTTGATTGTCGCGGAAGTGCACATAGAAAAACCACCCAGCCGCCCAAATTTTGTCGAAAGCAAAATAATGAGAGATTGTTTACATAAAACGAATATAATATTTGTTGTGCTGTTAATGAATATTTTAAATTTTTAATCAAGGTGGCACGACAGGTGGAGGAGCAGAAAGAGGAAATAACCTAGACACGTTCTTTAGTAGTTAGTTCACCGATTAATGTTACATATGTCACTATTTTTAATTTAAAAAAATACAATTCTTAACATAAATTACATTTTCATAAATGTACTGAGACGTTAGTATAAGAATATTAATCACTTTAAACTTATCTCTCAAAGACACTCTGGGGCCCAGATTGTAAATTGCTCTTACCGCACTTTTCAGCAGGACAAATATTATATTAATATCAGCGGCTTTGCTCAAAAGCGAAATACAGTAGCCGAAGTAAACAAATCTAGCGATTTCAACGTCTGAAAGTTTTCGTATTCTTTAATCGTGTACACTGTAGAGCCGTTTTGATAACTTACTTATATGAAGACTCCATTACAATTTAGCATCTTAGAAAAACAACTGTATCTTAAAATTTCAATTTTTCGTTTCTAACTGTAAGTTTGTGACCGTATGCCTAACACTGAGCACAAACGTTAGTTTCCTTAAGAAAAAAGCTTCATTTCTAAAAAGGTATCGCTAAAACCCGAGAACTCGATATTGTAGCTTATCAAATATTTTAACAAGCAAAACCGTCCCGCAAATACAACTTCACTTTCTAGAAACGAAATAGAGTGAATAGACAACTGCCTCAAACGGGTTCATGTAGTTGAAACTAATTTCAAATCGCAGCGCTTTGATGTTGTAGATTTTAGTTTGAACGCGTGCAATATAAATTCACGCTTTCGCAAGCATTTCATTGCCGTACTGTAGCTTACTCTTCATTGGAAACTGTGGTCCGAATTCAAACTTCAATCTTTTAACTTCAATGCAGGCAGACACGCTATTTATTTATTTATTAAATAAAATCATCCGACCCGAAACGTCGGTTTGTTTGAAAAAAAAAACAAATATACGCGATTCAAATCCGGAAAACTAGTTTTATTTCCTATAATCATCAGTTTAGTACAATCAAAATATGTATATCAAGTAAAAGATCCATAATACAGAAAATTAACATTAATAATAACCAAAATAATAATAACGCAATAATAATAATAATAATAAAACCAGCCAACAGGCTAAGAAAAGGAAGGCAAAGCCAGATAATAATATTAACGCACGTACTCATAGACCCGCACTAGGCAAACCTTGTATCGTGGGTGCACGGACACACGCACAGACAACAACAAAAACACCCAAACTCACGAGAAATAAATGTAGGCAATACAAATATTTCTCCCGGCCCGTGAATCAAACCCGGGACGGTCCAGGATGGTAACCGTTCGGCCATGGAGGTAATTATAGTTTATATAAATATAGTTTATTTATATAAACTTATAGTTTATTCAACAAGAACAGAATAGGGTAAGGGGTACTAATTAAACTATAGGCACAAAAAAATTTATGTCACAGGGTGACGGGAACAGTTAAAGTGAACCCCTCTCTGGTCTTTGCGATTTAAAGCATTGAGTGGCAGTACAAGTGTCTTGGGTAGGCATGTCGCTTACCACCAGATTATAGTTTTAAAATAATTTTGAAAAAAAATAACAATTGAACGTAACGTAACCTTACTTGTGTAGTTAAGTTTAAGTATGGCCAGTACACCCCAATGGTTTACAATAAAAGAATTGGTGAAACAGATTATGTCATCAAAAAAGACAAGGATTAATGTGTCGGTAAACGTTGTTTACTTCCGAGGGAACACGTTCAGAATTAAAAAGAAATGTACACGACTAGTCTTCTAAATAAAGGCGACCATCCTCAGTTTTTATAACATTTTACAGATTTAAGATACAAGATTTTATAGATTTTCTTGTACGGTCGACGATTACCGACAGCCACACACCGGCTCCACCCATTTATATTAATAATATAATGATCGAGCTGTCACGCTTCTCCCACCTTCGCTTCCTTTACTATCATTATATGCCTTTTCAATCTTGATACTTTTAACGTGACCGTTTCTAGGGACATTGTCAATGTGATTGAGACATGTACGCCGAGGTCTACTTCTCCCCACGCCTCCATCCATATTCGTTCTATAGATTTGTGCTGTCAACCTACCAACACTCATTCTTTCTACGTGACCAAGCATCTGCCTGGTCACTACATCATCTTTCACACCACAATGCTCTCTAATTACATTGTTCGGCGTTCTGTCCATAGGATTAATATCGCACGAATAATTTACCGAGATAAATAAAAGATCTTGTTATTATATGACATCCGACGACCTGAGACTTAATATGTGAGCACTGTAGGTGCTAGACGATGGAATATCAAATTTTCAACATTGGTTCATTGGTTTGGATATACTGGACATGGCCCTAGATTTTGTTGGTTATTCATATAGGGAATTTCTTACTTTACCTCTCTGAGCGCATGTTTAGGTTAGTTTTTCCTTGCTTTAGTAGTCTATTATAGCGTAGGTATCTTTGATTTTGTATGAGAGTGTAGTATCTGTTACTAGCAACTGTACCTGTTACGTAATTTATGACATGGTTATTTGGTACATATCTCATATTATCAATGTTACAATACTATAATTTAAAGTGTAATGTCAAGGGCCGTTACTAAGACAAACAATAATAGATAATATAAAACAAAATAATATAAATAAACCCAAATGTTATCAAAACATAAAGACGTCCAATAAAAATAACAAAAATAAAATAACATTCTCTTCGAAAGAAATTCGCCTACAATGTAAAATTCATTATCCAATGAAAAGAGTTTCAGAGGAGTAATATTTCAGGTCATTATCTTCATTAAAATTGAGAAAATTTAGCAGGTTTTTGAAGTATCCAAAATGTCTTGGACCAGGACTTTAGATTAGGAAACAGCTTTCAACAATTTTAAATTAAATTTTTATGTAGGCTTGCACACTACACTGTTCACATTACGTTTCTAATCTCATCCACACTAACGATTGACGTAGTGCCTAAGACTGTTTTTCAACCACGGGATACCGAACGTCCAATATCACGATTAAAATGTATATGACGACCAATCTCGATAACTCCACGTACTTTTCGCGGAATGAAATGCTTTTCTCCATTACCAAAACGAATGTATTGATTGTTCCGTCACTGCAGAACCCCGGCTGTCCCAGTTTTTCATACAACGTATGCGTTCTGTAAGCCTTGTAGATATAAACGTCCAATCTCTCCTATGTAAATCTTGCCACAGGAGCAAGGAATCTTATATACCCTGTGGATAGTAAATGGCTCTTGCGTCAGCACCCGTACTACCTGACCGGGCTGTCAGGGCTTTAGTGCGCAGTTTTCGTCGAGTCACCGCCGCGAAAGCTCATAATTAAGGACCTCGGACTAGTACGAAATATCTCGAGCAAAAATTTAACTTAAATACGTAAGTTGTCGAGTAGTTCAGTTAATAAGTATTCAACAAACTTACATGACTTCCACGAGCAAGGATACTGGATTACAGACATGTAATTTACCTTTAAGAAACTTGCAAGTTGGAAAAAGATGAGAAAACTTAACAGCCTTACGAAGGTTCTAATACTTATGAAGTCCAGGTTTTTATTTAGGAAACTAACTGTACTACACAATGATAAGACTTAGTAATGAATGAATATCATAACTATAATCATAAACAAATTCATGCACGCGGAATTATAAATCTCTACGCCATATCGCATAGCTAGTTTTTTAAATAAAAAGCTGGAACTTCTTCTGTAATATTCAGGTACAAAGTAATCGTTACAACAACGGCAACTCATAACCAAGAAACTCATTTTTCTAGATTGAAAAATCTGAAACCTTCACGTAAAAGCGAGGTGCAATCAACAAAGAAGGAACGCGACCCAGAAAACTATTGTATACAAAAATCACCTCAAATTCATAACCCTGAAGAATATCAGCAATGACAGTCGACGGTTATTACCTACTTCCCTCCTCCCCCTTATTCCGTTTCATCCCTTCCCCTTTCCGTTTCACCCCCCCTTGCCCATAATATATGGGGCACAGGATGTCCTGGAAACGCGCATTTTTACATTTTGCTGCCGGAGTTTTGGAATTAGCTTTATGGTTCCGTGAATTGTTAAATGGGGGAACCCCTTTTTTATGACCATGTCATTTTTTTTTTCAATCGTTTATCTACTTTTGTTTAGTCGTTATAGCTTTATTCCGTATATTTTTTTATCAATTGCTTCCACAATATTAAAGATTTGTGGTAGAAAGTCATTTTGTAGAATTATAATACTATACGTATTAAATAGCATTACGTTGCGATATAGCTGCAAGTTATTGTCATCTAAATAATTAAAAAAATACTCACCAACTGGGCTTTCTTCATTCCAAAACGAGTCGTCCAGTGTGTAATCGGCCTCTGAAACAAAGATAACGACACAGTTTAAGAAAGATAAATCTAATTCAGATTACGAGATATAACTAACTGCAGTCTAAATCAGTAACAATGTTGAAACACACATACTCGTATAACCAATACAAAATATAACCTATAATGTACATGTATAGTACAAGTATGATACATAAATGTATGTAAATCTGGAAAGAATGATGAAGACAGAACAGGCATCTATTTGATAATCACAAATGACACACAGAATAAAAAACACAAACTAACAATTAGAAATCTTAATGAAAAAGAAAATAATAACAACAACATAGTTAAAAGTTTAAGTAGAAATAAACATTCACGACAAAAAACCACAAAATTAAACAAAAATAGTTTTCAAACGCAAATTATTAACAAATCTCACGCGGTAACAAAAGGGACATTCTGCATTTGCTGGAGAACGTAATCCCAGCCAGCAAAGTCTGTACCATGTTTAAAATCCGTAGACAAATATGTAGTTTATTTTAATTACCCGAGAACTTTCAGTATGGCATCCATATTATTCGCATTCAAAAATTCGTACAAATATTTTTTCCCTGCTCTATAAACCTACACTAGCCGTTCCATAAATTTGTATGAGAAGTCAAAATCTGCGTGATTTCGTAAAAGTGGTACAATAAAAAAGAATAAATATGACCTTGTCATATACATCTTAATGAGATGTAAGTGTTTCTTTAAAAAAAATCAGATAGAAAGTAATAGTATATATGAAAACACGTAGTTATCCATAGTCTCTGCCTACCGTATACATAACTCTGTACACGGGCGTGATAATATGAATGTATGTAAGTTTAAACGATGTGACATGAACTAAATTACATACTACACACTGAAAAATTACAATCGAAACTGGAAACATTACAGTTTATGAAAAAGAAACAATTAACAATGCAATTTACGAGCATTCAAGTTATAATTAAAACTCAGAGACCTTAAATATGAAAATAATAACTTTACACAAAAATAATTACCGGCGACTGTGACTGAAATAAATTAAACAATGGAGTAGGGGTGTTACGAGCAATGATGCTTCACCATTCAACCTGGTGGATACAGCTATTGTTATTGTAATTACCTCGTTAGGGGCCAAGACAAAAGATCTGCTTTTTTCAACGTCCAAATTAGAAATTAAGATTCCGAAACTTTTGTTCAGACGTTCGATGTCGCTTTCCTTCAATATCTTTACTATATTTTTCAAAAACATTTTCCCTTAATGGAACTCAATGAAGCTTTCGACAATATTAGATCTAACATTTTGTACTCAATATAAGGTAAAATATATATAAAGATAGTAGTACCTTTTTACTAAACTAACACTACCAGAACATCGAATACTCCTGCGTTCTCAAAACTTAAAGGTTAGAAGTGAATATTTATTTTAGCGTTGGTGTTGCTCAGGGCACCACTTTCTAGTTTTTTCATTATTATCTTTATAAACATTTTAAGATTTGAAATACAGGATAACAGAATTATTAGGCATTAAAAATACATACAAATACATCTAGACAATATTTACATCTCATAAATATTAATAATATAGACGAAACAAGATTTTTTTTAAAAATGTATTAACATTAATTTCGTTAGTAAATTTAATCTAAAGGAACGCGCCCCGGCTGAGGATAGTAAAGTTTCCAATTGGATAGCTAAACTGGTTTGTTTTCGTGATAAATAACAGCCTCCGGTTACCGATATGTTATAAATATATTTGTATTGTATAACGTACAATGGTGAGAAATAAAATGCTCTACCACAATAGAAGAATTTTTAAGCGATACAGAGATATAACATCCCTAAACTAATTCGTCGTTAGTAATAATAATTAGCACATAAGTTCCTTGTTATATTGAGTGTGATTTATTAAAATTTTCATTATTAAAAAGAATTTAATAATCTTGTTGTGTAATTTTTATTTATTTTTTATTTTGTTTGATTATTTCCTGTGTTTAATTTTTAGCTACACCCTTACAGGGTGCTTGTATTGTAAATTTTAATATATACTTTACATGACTGCGAATGAATAAATACTGAAGTACTGAAATACATACCTGTGTTTTGTTGCTATTCACGCTTGTTTGTAAAATTGCAGGGCTATATTCATTGACTTACAATTATATGGACGTCGGGTCCGCGCTAAAAAGTGTCCGCACTTGTAAGGCGCTAAAATCGTATACAGAGCGCGACACTCCGCTTTAGTCTTCATTTGTTCGACTGACAGCGCGATACTGCGATGACATTACAATTTAAATTTCGAATAGGTTGACTTGGGACATTTTTTTCGTGGTTTTTGTATTATACCCGTCGTCCATTTATTTGTAAGTCAATGGCTATATTGCTAACATCATAAGCAACAACTTTTGTCACATTCCTTTTTATAAAATAAATAAATTCGTCAAAAACAAACGTTTAAGATTTTATTGTACTATCCCCATTGAGAACCCCAATCCCCGCCACAGTTTTACAAAGGGAAGACATTACAATACTGTGCCCCGCTTCTACTTTTGCACAAAGTTATCACCATTTTGAACGATCTATTTGAATATTTTTATTTTTGATCGAAAGTAAAATGTAATAAATTATTAACAGTTATTGAACAAATGATTATTGTTAAACATTTTAATTTGATGGGACTTGTTTGAATGGTCTAACTGGTCCCTAAGTAAATACACAATTTAAAACTTAAAGCGTCGGAAGTCCTCAGCATCTAAATCCATAAAAGCCATAGTTATTGTACCATAAACTGAAGTACCGTTAAAACTTGTTATTGGAATCAATTTTGCCTCAGTAAAGTACAGCAACTGTTGTTGTATCACTAAAATTATAATTCGAAGAGAATTAGTTTTTAGTAAGTTTTTAATACTTTCTTAAAGTCTAGACTTTACGATTGAACAATTTACGTAATGCTTTCAAGCGTAGGCTATATCGTGATATTCAAGAGGCCGATGTAAAAATAAAACTTAGACGTTTTAATTACCACCGCATCGGTCACCTTGAGATATAAAATTAACAAGTTTCATGAGCCTATACTTTCACCAGTAACCTTAGGCTTGGCAACTGAAATTGGTATAGTGGCAGTACTTCCCTGAACGTACAATTCTGGGTGAGTATATCAGTCATCCGCCAGAATCCATGCATAGATGCCGACGTATCTGGCTACAAATCAATGATCTTGAACGTCGAAAAACCGCGATAAGCAATCACGCACTGCGGTGCAAAACACTGCGGTGACGTTCTAACATTGGCTAACTATAGTTCTCATATACGAAATACAGATAAGGAGTTCGAATACGGACATGTTTCACATCGTGTTAAGTGAAAATCTGTAGATTCTGCCGTGAAGTGAATAAGATGTCTTTACATTTAATTTTGCCTTGTAATTGGCACACGACGTTTACTTCTGGGCAAACATGTGCCTCAGCTAGAAGAGGTAAAGACAATCAAAAATGAGAAAATGACACAATCGGTCTCATAGGCGAGGTAATGTCATAATAGGTGAAGTGTTAATGAAGAGCTGATCCAGCTCTGATTAAGGTGATGACTCTATAAAATGTACATTATGAATACATATATAACAGACCAATTTAAACCTCACAAAAAACATAAATAGCTAGAAGAGGCGTCTAAGGTATCTATAGGAGCATAACTCACCGTACTCGTTCAAGTTGCTAATGAAAGAATTCTTGTCTCTCACAATGTTATGGTAGAAAAACCAAAAAGTAAAATGAAAAACGAACTACTGTGAAGAGTCTATATTGTAAAGCAATAATTCAACTTTCTCATAGCGAGCAATACTCGGCGAGTGTAACAGGCGAACCTTAAACAATGTGATACTGAGAACGTGGCCATTAGCTTTTATGGCACAATAAGAAGCTGGGTTTACTCAGCAAATATTGGTGTAAGATTTTCGAAATGGCACAAGTTGAGAAATTCTTAAAATTAGCTGGTTGTTTTTAGCCGGACGTTTGTTGATTTTATTACCTGAAACCCTACTTCATTAATTTGATACGCGAAAATTGAAATAATGAAATTGTCGATAGATACTTTACAACTACGTGGAAGTAGACGATCATACAGTAGATTATTTTGGTTATGAGTGATTTGTGCAAATACCGTAGAGGATATATTTTATGTGGAAGTATCTGAATATGAAGATATAAATGGTGTTCTTCTTGATATTTCCCTTGTATAGTTTGGTAAAATACTACACGATTTATAAGTCACTTGTTGCATGCGGCTTAAGTAGGTCGCATTACATGCAACAATGCATAGTAGGTTGTATAAATTGTATAAATATTAAACGGTGATTGAAAGCCTATAGATGCAACTTGTATAGGAAGTTTATAGAACAGCGTTAGAGGATACTTGAAGCTAGCAGTATTAGCTATTATTATTAATACAAAGATCGAAAAGCATAAAGAAAAATAGCTTCGATGTGATTGGATAGTGTCTACTGCTACATTGGTGCCACCGCACTTAACCGACAAAGCTACAAACTGACTTTTTATGTAAAGAATGTGGCAAATGAGCAGACGAGCTGCTTGATGGGAGGTAGTCATCGTCAACCATGGACATTTGCAACATCAGATGAACTGCCTATGCGTTGCCAGCCTTTGAGAGCACTGTTAACACGCTTTTTGAAGAACCCCATGTCATGTACTTCAGAAGAACGATGCGTTGCGTGTGATCTTACAATGACAGGCATCTAAGATGTGAGAATGGACTCTACTCCTTTGGCGGGAAGTGGTGGAAGATGGTGGAAACGAGACGGTGGCACCAGTTCGTAAAGTTCCTCAGAGAACTCCCTATTATAAAGACTTAGCAAACTTCGAGCAGACTTAGAAAAACTTATGAAGTTTTCTTCACTCAGCCAAGTACCTTTATTCGTTGTATTGCAATATTTATGTATTGAATATCTTGGCATTGCAATGTAAATACGCCAGTACATCAAGCTACACATTGACGTACCTATC